TAGCGAGAAAGATGTCCCCATCTTGCCAGACGTGCCGGTTGCGGATCGTCCACTCCCGGCGCTCGTTGTCGGGGATATCCATCAAAGCCCACAGTTTCAGGATGGGAGTGGCCGCTTGCGACGGGAGATTATACCCAGCTTGGTGGAGGAGGATCATGATATCTCGCACAGTGTTGTCGCGGTATGCAAGCATTCGGATCCATGGGATGGATGGAACGAGGAGATCAAGGTTATACTGGCCGTCTTGGGGCTGGGGGTCGCACCAGTGCCTGGGCTGGGTGCACAATTTAGGATAGCAGAGGAAGGGGAATGTAATGGCAGCGTAGGGGTAGCGGGTTGCCGCATGGGTTGAGATAACATGCCCGATATGCGCGCTGAGGAACTGGTGAAATGGTTTAGATAGAGCACCTATGTTGACTATATCGTTGACGTCGAGGTAGCTGGTGAGCGAAATGGCGAGTTGAGGATGGTATGAGAGTCTTCGCAGGAGGTCGAACCCTTCATGAGGGATATTAGATATCTGAGGTTGAGGGGATGGCTGGGTTTCGGCACCGTGCGTCGGAGCCATGTTCAAGGCTGGAGGGGCGATATCTCGTGGCTGCTGTGGCAGTATTCTGGCTTCTGGACGGCTAATAATCCGCGGCTGTTGTGGGAGAGTGTTGGCATCTGGGTGGCCGGTAGCCCGTGGCTGCTGTGATACTGCCCTAGCTTCTGGACGGCCCATAGCTCGTGGCTGCTGTTGCACTGTTCTCGCTTCAGTCCCTTCTGGGGTTAACGCGTTAGCAGATGTTGCTGGAACGAAGGTATTGCTTGGAGCCCTGGTCTGAGCAGCAATTTGCGGCCTTGCTTCCCTAGCCCCGGCTGGTTGAAGAAATATGGACGCCAACTGGTCCTTAGGAATTGGTTGGAAGCTACCACTGAACTTTGCAGGGGGAATATTCGGCACCCTGATGCCCTCGTTCGTAATCTGCACAATAGCCGGTACTGTCTCTTTTGCATTGCTACTCTGCTGGCGCATAGGTATGATGTCCTGGGGCGGAATACCGGCGATCAGCTGCTGACGGATCAAAAATGCCTGCAGTGCTAATTCGGGGCTAAGATTTGCTCCGAAGGGTTGGGGTTGCTGGTTTGGCACTGCGGAGGATCTCTGTGGCTGGTTGGAGACTTGTGGGAGTTGAGGGATATTCGGGGGCCCAGAGGGTGTCGAGACGATGTTTGAGCGCCCAGGGGGGAGCTGTACTCGTGGAGGATGCTGTGCTCGAGGAGGATTCTGTGCTCGATGGGAATTGTGTGCTCGATGGGAATTTCGTGCTCGGGGGTGATGCTGCGCTTGAGGGGGGTTCTGCGCTTGAGCAAGATTCTGCGCTTGAGGAGGATCCTGTGCTCGAGAGAGAAGCTGCGCTAGATGCGGAAGCTGTACTTGAGCGAGATTTTGCAATTGAGCGAGATCCTGTACTTGAGGGAGATTCTGTACTTGAGGGGTGTTCTGTATTTGTGGGGGGTTCTGTGCTCGAGGGAGGAATTGTGTTGGATGAGCGAACTGTTGTCGTTTTCGAGGAGGGAGCTGTGTTCGAGGAGGAAGTTGTGCATGAGGAGGGAGCGGTGCTTGAGGGAGCTGCGCTTGAGGGTAGAACTGTGCTGGATAAGCGAGCTGTGGTGGAGGAGAGAGCTGTACTGGAGTGTAGCGCTGACCAAAGCCACTCACATGAGCACTAGGAAGGCTCAAAGTGCTCTGTGTGCTATGTTCCGTGTTAGGACGGACATGGCTGTACTGGTTTGGGGTCTGATTGCTCTCTCTAGAGCCCGCAAGAAAGAGCAAGCACTCGGCGGCAACGATGTCTTCTTGAGTGGTGGGAGTCGTCATTTTGTGAATGTCTCGCCGTGTAAGGCCAACCAGAAAATCACGAAACGGCTAACGCCGAGCACTGCACCTCAGTGATCAGTTGGATCCGCTTCTGAAACGGGGCTGAGCCTTGAAAGCAGGCCTAACACAAACGATGCGATACTCGTGTATCAACTATTCAGAACAGAGCACTGACCGGAGATACTTAGTTGTTAACACCACACAGAGAGACTGTTCCGAAATAGTAGTAGTTGAGATGAAATGCCGAGAGATTGGATGTCAGTTGATGTGCGAAGCAGTGAATAGATGTAGGGTTGCTCCCTGTGCAGTTGTAGAACTAAGTCATGAAGAGTTGTCATGGGAGATGGATAACACTCTTTTCCTATGCAGTGAATGAAAGCTGGGGCACTCCAATTGACTGGCTGGAAGAGTAAATAGTATGCCAGCTCAAGCGTTAAAATTTGCAAATCATATCCAAGGTATGTACAGTAACAAGAGCATGTTGATCAATATTCACCTAATATGCATTTCATGCTAGGATTCTGTATATATTTGCTAGCATGTATTTTAGCTGCAGTTCTGTTTTTACCATACCTACAACCCAGAATTGATGAGCATCTTGGTTAGTTGTATTGTATCTCCTAAAGAGAGTTGCTTTGACGTGAAGACTTTGTCAAGAGCACAAATGTTGTCATTAACAGGCTCTAGACACTAAAGAGAAGTTACAAAATCTCTTGAATTGGATACACAAGCAAGTACCATCAAGCAGACTGAGCTGAATAGTCAATTGTTGAGATTGATCTTATCTCGAATATACATAGCTTTTAGCTATAAGATTTCCACAGCATAACGTCGTCCATACATCCCACATATCCCTATATCCAGTTGAAAAGATATTAAAACAAATGTTGAATCAACCTCGACACAGCGCCAAGTTTTGCGGCCGAGGTGTACGGCAAGAGCCGCCCGCCTGCCCTAATATGTTCCACGCTTGTTGATCGAAACAATCGAGCGAGGATCGCAGATAACGATGATCTGTGCATCGCAACCGCGGGACAGAATATATCTATACAAAAGCCAAGACAGTCCAAACGCAAAAGAACACTCCGTTCGCGCGGCGTAAAGTAGAATGCCAATCCAAAAGACCTGTTGAAAGGTGACCGCCAAAACTCCGTGAAACAAGAATACCATCCACTGTTAAATCGAGGGGGGTAAGAAGTAGTAAGTGTCGTAAGGAAGTTGAGTAGGCATGAGAAAATTATCGGCGGTGCAGCAGAGTCAGGAACTCCTCCCGGGTCTTTGCGCTCGACCGCATGCAGCCAAGCATACAGCTGGTCGTGGTAGTGCTGCTAGTCTTTTGCACACCACGCATCACCATGCACAGATGGGACGACTCCATGACAACACCAACACCACGTGGTTTCAGAACCTCGGAGATAGCCAGAGCGACCTGCTTGGTCAAGCGCTCTTGCACCTGGAGACGACGAGAGAACATTTCCGCCAGACGAGCCAACTTGGAGAGACCAAGCACGCGGCGGTCAGGAATATAACCAATGTGCATCTACCGAAGAAGTGTTGGTTAGCATAACTGAATCTCGTACCGAAAAGAGCAGTCTTACCTTTCCAGTGAAGGGAACCATGTGGTGCTCGCACAGCGAGAACACCTCGATATCTTTGACAATCACCAGCTCGTCATGATCTTCATGGAAGACCGCACCATTGACAAGATCCCGAACGTTCTCCTCATAACCCTTGGTAAAGTAGAGCATGGCCTTGGCATATCGCTCCGGGGTTTCGCGCAGGCCCTCTCTTTCCGGATCCTCTCCGACACACTCCAAAATCGTCCTGACAGCTCCTGCAAGCTTCTTAATGCGCTCCTCTGTCTCTTCGGGCGACGACTCCAGTCGCTCCCTGGTGCCAGGGCCTGAGGAAGGGATCCGTCAGATCTCGATGATATCCAATCGCATCAATGATCACTTACAAGGCCAGCTCAGTCCATCAAAGTCAATTGGAGGGAAGAGGGTGTAAGGGCTCGCAGGTCGGCTGACAGTCGCAGGCGGGGTCAATGCACCAGCCTCATCTCTCAGATCGCGGGGAGGGTCGTTCAATGTCGGCCTGAATCGCGCAATTAGTGAATTGATTGATACCATCCCGCAGACGCAACATACTTAGCAGAGGTAGAGCCCCGGGGGGTATCATCCACCAGGGACTCCCCGGAAGGGTGAGCGGCAGAGGCGGGCAAGTTGAACTCAACCGGGATGCGGGGAGTAAACGACGAAAGGATGGAGGAGTTGAGACTCTCCCTCTCCCGAGCATCGCGCGAGCTGGTAGAGGGGCTGGTAGAGGCATGCAGAGGAGAGCCGCCATTCAGCATATGAGAAGGTATGGCAGACCTAGGCTTCGGGCCAGGAGGAGGGGGGGAAGTTCCAGAGCCCATGATTATTTTGGAGGAGAAAAGTAGGCAAGCGAGCAGAGGGAACTGAAAGACGGAGGAGATGTGGGTATTGGCGGCGTTGACAGAAGTAGGCTAAGCAACGCCTTGGGGATTGAAGAACGGATGGGGGAAGTGAGAAAGGAGGAGAAAGAGTTACAGTGTCAGAGACATGGCAGTAAGCACAAGAAGAAATTCTGGAAGGAGGAGGATTAGTGTAAAAACCGAAAAAGCTAAGATGACTCCGGCCTTCGAAGGGGCGGCGACTCAATGATTTGATTTCCCTTTCGAACCCCTCCGCTTTTTCGGACGGCGGCGTGATCGCTGTGCTGACCGCCTTTGTCTTGCAGCCACTCACAGGTTAGCTAGCGGGGCTGATTAAGCTTCCTCTCCCCCAATTGTCGAGAATTTCCCCTCCACAGTAGTAATATTTCCTAGGGTGATCTTGTTCTGTTGCTAGAAATGCTTTACTTTGGATATTGGGTGAGTTCGAAATTATTCGCCAATTCATAAATTCGCATCCGATAGCTAGGATCGCAAATGTTCATCTATCTGAACCCGATCCCTCCCTACTTAGTAGTTGCAAAGAAATCAATCCAGCTCGGTCATTGCGGCTCCGATTGGCAACGGCAGAAAAACGCTCCCGAGTGGGGCACCAATCATCATGTCGACATCACGAGGGTAGGTGCCTGAGGCAATATACTCAAAGAAGGGAAACAAACCATAGTCTGGAAAATGATGCAGTACTAAGTAGCTAGGCTTCATATGTTACATTGCAGCCACTAAACTCCTGTTAACCGACTGTGCAGCAGAATTCGTTGTCATGTGTTTGTTTGTTTTCTTTCCCACATCCTCGCTGTGATTGTAGCAACCCCATCGAAGAAGTACATGAAGTAAGACGAGCCATCCCCTGATGCAAATTTGCATCTGAAACTGGCAGCTCATGGTTCCAACTCCTCGGTCGGCACATCCTCCAGATCCTTGCCGACAATCGCATCTGCCACCTTCCACACCTGCAGCAGGTTGTCTTCGGCCGCCGAGCAGAGCACCCACGGATCATTCAGGTTCCAGCTGAAATCCGAAATGCGGTTCGTGTGGCCGCCGTGCATGAACAAACTAGAAACAGTGTCAGCAGTGTAACATGGTACAATACGGGAGGCGTTACGTACAGCTCGGGTGGACCATCCTGGGCATCCTCAGGGGTCTGCTCCTCCCCAGTCCGGCTAAGATCCCAGAACATGATCTTGCGGTCATAGCTGGCGCTGGCCAGTACGCTCTCCTCAAATGGATGCCAAGAGAGCGAAGTCACGGAGTCGTTGTGACATTCAAGCGCGTGCAGTTTGGTCTTCAGATTACGTAGATCCCACAGGCCGATCGACTTATCGGCCGATCCGGTGGCCAGGACCGTTTCTGCGGCAGGGTTGAACGCAACGGCGTTGATGGCGTCACGGTGCTGGCCCTCCGCTGATGCAGCCGCACGCGTGGTTTCGGCCTCACGCACATCGAGAATTTGGAGGGTAATATCATCAGATACCGTTCCGATGAGTGAAGAATGCAGAGGATGGTATTGAACATCGTTGACAATAGAGGAATGATGGGTGTATGTCCGAACAGGCTTGAGTGCCTTGTTACCCTTTGTGTACGTCGTCAGATCCCTGAACAGCGGTTAGCTCCAGAGCAATCGTGTTTCACTTCTTTAGTCAGATCTTACCAAAGACGGACTGTCTTGTCCTCGCTACCTGTAGCAAGGTGACCGGTGGTGTGTGGACTCCAGCTGAGACCGAAACCCTCGCGAGTATGGCCTAAAAGCTCCATCTGAGGGTTGACAGTGCCTGTAGGCAAGCTTGGGTGCTTTGAGCGATCCCAGATCATTACACGGCCATCTGTGCACATGGTGGCAATGATGTTGGGGTTCTGTGGTTGGTATCGCGCCTTGTTGACTTCACCCTTGTGATCAATCTTTTGCACAATGTTGAACTTGATTTCCATAGGCGCCTTCTTCGAGCTGCCGCCGTATCCGCCAATCTCCCCACGCTCTTCATCGTAGTCATCTGGGTTAGGCGCAGTCGGATTAGGGAGCTGTACATGAGCGATCTGCAGGTAGTTTTGCGCATCACTCGAGGTATGAGTGCCAATAAGCAGGCGATGAGTCGAGTAGGGCTTATCGGGAACACTACAGAACGTTAGAATCTATAAGGAAACGAATACAATGGGCGCGCATACTCTTGCTTATCAGGTAGCCATTGTGTTGTGAGAGTAGGCCATTCTAATGCCGTGCTCAGGATCATGTCATAAAGGAAAGGTGCGTTCTTCTTCCATGTCTTGTACTCTGTTCCACTCATTAGTTGGGTCGGGAGACACCCCACTGAAGATTGGACAGCGCACCTTCGTTGATGATCTTCTCCTCGGTGCGCTCTTCCTCCTGCTCTTCTTGCTCCTCAATGAAACCTGGCGGGAGGAACGGTTAGTGAAGCTCGCGCGACAGAATCCGGAGGGTGACCTCTCACCATCGTCGTAAGGCTCCATGGTTGTGGGGAAATACGGTTAAATGGGGTGAGAGATTAGATAACTTTCAGAAGGAGCCGATTGCTCAGAATTGTGAATAAACCGGGGTAGGAGGGCAGGCGGTTGAGATAGCCAAGTGGGACCTGGGAATGGAAGGGTAGCAAGACAGAGCTTTGAGCTGCGGATGAAGCTCTCTCACTCTCTGTTCGCAACTGGAGAAAACGCGCGACTTTCCCTTTGGCGGCGCGTTAATGGGCGCCCGGGCCACTAATCCTGATTAGGCAGGTGGGCTTGGCACCACCTGATTGAGCTTCGGCCGCGGATGGCTGAGGTCACAAAAGTGACTTGGAAGAGTCATCATTCCTTGGTCTCATCTTAACTATCTTCACTTTGCCCCTCCTCTTACCTCTGCTCGGCGCTTCCGTCGCCCCATCTCTCATATTTTCTTTTTGTTTGCCTTCCTTCCCTTGTTGTATTCTACTGTCATACGTTCTCTGAAGATACCCAGTCGTTTCTGCTTGTCTACGACCGCATTGCCGTGCGCTGGATGATTTGCCTCCGAGCTTGGGTGCTTCATTGAAACCTGACGACTACTACGACGACCACGACGCAAGGACACTCCTTTCCTCTTATACATCTTACGCCTTTTTCGTCTGCGAATATTTTCTCCTTTTTACAAATTTCGCCATGGGTGTTCCCAAGTTCTTCCGCTGGCTGAGCGAGCGGTATCCCGCGATCTCCATGTTGATCGCGGAGAACCGTATACCGGAATTCGACAACCTATATCTGGATATGAATGGCATTATTCATAACTGTACACACAAGGACAGCGATTCGCCGACTTTTCGCATGACCGAGGACAAGATGTTCATCGCTATTTTTAACTATATCGAACATTTGTATGGCAAGATCAAGCCTAAGAAGCTTTTCTTCATGGCAGTCGATGGTGTGGCTCCGCGGGCCAAGATGAACCAGCAGCGTGCCCGACGTTTCCGGACGGCTTTGGATGCCGAGACAGCCAAGGAGAAGGCAATTGCTCAGGGCATCGAGATGCCTAAGGAAGAGGCTTTTGACAGCAACTGCATCACACCCGGTACCGAGTTCATGGCCAAGTTAACCGAGCAATTGAAATATTTTATCAACAAGAAGATCTCTGAAGACAAAGATTGGCAGGGGGTGGAGATCGTACTTTCTGGCCACGAAGTTCCAGGTGAAGGTGAACATAAGATCATGGAGTACATCCGGCATGCGAAAGCACAGCCTCTTTACGATCCTAACGTCCGTCACTGTCTGTATGGCCTTGACGCTGACTTGATCATGTTGGGGCTTCTGAGTCATGATCCCCACTTCTCCCTGCTCCGTGAAGAAGTCACCTTTGGTCGTCAAGTCCAGAAGAAATCTAAGGAGCTTGAACACCAGAACTTTTATCTTTTGCATCTGTGTATGGTTAGAGAATATCTGGAGCTGGAGTTTCAGGAGTTGGAACAGGAGGGTGTTTTGAGCTTTCCCTTTGACATGGAAAAGGTTATTGACGATTTCATTCTAATGGCTTTCTTCGTTGGAAACGACTTTTTGCCCAATCTGCCCAATCTGCATATCAACGAGGGTGCTTTGGCATTTATGTTCAAGATTTATAAGGAATCATTGCCCAAGATGGGCGGCTACATTAACGAACAAGGTGTTATCAAAATGGACCGATTGGGCATCCTTCTGGATGCTCTGAGCGATGTTGAGTTCCGCTTCTTTGAGCACGAGTATTCGGATGCACAGTGGATTCGGGCCAAGAAAGGCGAAGTTACAGAGCCCCAGTCGAAGCCCAAGGGTCTCACGATCACCCCTGCCCAGAAGGAATTATTCAAGCAAGTCAAGAAATATGTCCTGAACCGACCTGAAAAGGCAGCAGAAACGAAGCCTCTTGACTTTGCTTCTTCATTGCCTGCTCGTGACCGCAAGTTTGTGGAGCAGCTGGCAGATGACCTCCGGCTACCGTGGACGACCGTCGCAGACGAACATGGTGATCGGTTTATCCATGTGCAGCTCCCTGGAAATGACAATGAAGACAGCGATGATGAGGATGAAGAGGCTTCCGTTGCGGTTCAGCGGATTATCCGAAGATACGATAACGCAAAGGTCCAGGAGCTGTCAGCCGAAGAAGCCCAACAAGCGGCGGAGAAGAAGTATGAAGAGAAGTTCCAGGAATGGAAAAATAATTACTACGTCGGCAAATTCGGCTGGGGGCTTGACAGTCATGAGGAAATGAAAGAGTTGACGGAGAACTATGTACAAGGTCTTCAGTGGGTTCTGTACTACTACTACAGAGGCATTGCATCCTGGCCGTGGTTCTTCAAGTACCACTACGCACCGATGATCTCCGGTGAGTGTCGAACCTCTGCAGAGACCGAATAACCAGACTGACTTTCCACAGACGTAAAGAAAGGCCTCAATGCAGATACCAACTTTCGACTTGGCAAGCCCTTCCGGCCGTATGAGCAGCTGATGGGTGTGTTGCCTGATCGAAGCAAGAAGACTGTTCCTGCGGCATACCGGGATCTGATGACTTCTCCGGATTCCCCTATCATCGATTTTTACCCGCGTGATTTTGAGCTGGACATGAATGGAAAGAAGATGGAATGGGAGGCAGTTGTCAAGATTCCCTTCATTGAAGAACGTCGCCTGTTGGATGCCCTCGCAACTAGGGAACACTTGCTGACCCCGGAGGAGAAAGCACGGAATGGATTTGGTGCCAGTCTTAAGTTCACTTATTCTCCGGAGGTGCAGTTCATCTACCCGTCCTCTCTTCCCGGTGTGTTCCCAGACATTCCGAACTGCCACTGCATCGAGAACATTTTCGATTTGCCGACTATGGATGGTCTTGAGCCATACATCGGCTTGATGGATGGCGTGCAAATGGGGGCTGCAGCCTTGGCTGGCTTCCCTAGTCTGCAGACGCTGCCCCATGTTGGTCAACTAGGCCACCATGGTGTCACTGTTTTCCAGCAGGAAAGCCGCAACGAGAGCATGGTCATTACATTGCTCGACCCTGGGAGCAGGTCGAGCGTCGAGTTGGCCAAACAAAAACTCGGACAGCGCGTTCATGTGGGTTACCCGTTCTTGCAAGAAGCGCTCGTGATCCGCGTATCAGATGAACTTTTCGACTATATTCTACCGGAACCTACGGGTCATGTTGTTTCTATCCCCCATACCCCTGCTCAAATTGATCAGTGGAAGAGAAAGGCCGAGCGGATCGAATCGTCTTACAGCAAAAGACTTGGTACCATTATCGGCCCGGTCGAGTCGATGGTGCATGTTCAGCTGCTCAAGGGCTTGATCAAGACAGACGAGGGTGCTACGGTTAAGGAATTCGCCGATATCCCTGGGCAAGAAACCGACTACGCCCTCCAGCTGGTGGTTGACGATGTGATCAACCCCGATCAACGCTTCATTGAGCGCGAGGCCCTACCCATTGAGGAGGAGTTCCCCGAAAACTCCCGAGCGTTCATGCTAGGAGAATACAACTATGGACGGCCCGTTCAGATTACGGGTCATGATCATGGCAAGGTAAATGGAATGATTGCAGCGGTGAAGGGTCGAGAACCGGAGTTTGGAAGGGACCGAGCCAGGGATGCTGAGAGGCTCTGCCCTTACATGCCGTCGTACGCCATCGCTCGTAGCTTGCGGCTCAATCCTTTGGTTCTAGCCAAGATCACCTCATCGTTCTCCGTCGACGTTGAAGGGCAGCGTGTCAATCTGGGTCTCAACCTGAAATTCGAGGCCCGGAAGCAAAAGGTTCTCGGCTATTCTCGCCGTGGAGACTCTGGTTGGGAATTCAGCCCTAAAGCCGTGGAGCTCTTGCAACAATATATGATTAAATTCCCCGAGTTTATCGCGGGCATTCAGCGCAATCCGCAGAACGATCGGTACACGCCCACGGACTTCTATCCCGAAGAGACTGCCCTCCTGAAGATGAAGGAAATTCGAGACTGGCTAAAGTCAATTGAGGCGAAGAACTTCGAGCGCGTCCCTCTGGATGCGGAACAGCTTGATTCTGACCTTGTGAAGTTGATCGAACAAGATGCCGACCAGCTGCTCCAGAGCATGCCACCCATGGAAGTGAAGGCGGTCCGTGGCCTGCCCCGCAGCGCCCTGCTGCGGCCGTCCGATGTTGAGCAACGACTTGGAAACCAGACCTTCAAGCTGGGAGACCGGGTCGTGTATGCTCAAGATTCCGGCAAGGTCCCCATTGCCACTCGAGGCACCGTTGTCGGTCTTACCCGGACACCACGGGCCCTTCTCCTCGACGTGGTCTTTGATGTCTCGTTCATGAGCGGTACTACGCTCGGCGACCGCTGCTCTCCGTTCCGAGGCCAGACGGTTCTGGCATCGTCGGTGCTGAACGTCTCCTACCGGCAGCTGACCGTCAATACGCGCGCGTCGAGCAGCGCACAAAAGCAGTCCCAGCAAACGCCCTTGACTGTCGCCGGGTATGGTGCTCCACTTGGGCCCGGTGGGCAAGGACAGCTGAGAGAAGCCCCGGCCCCACCGCCCTTGGGTAATTCCTACCGTGGCGCAGTCTCCGGCATGGGTAACGGTCGCGGACGTGGTGGGCGTGGTGCCTCCAATGGCGTGGGTGCTCAAACCACCTTGCCGTTCCGGCCCCAACCCAACGGAGCATCGCCAGCCGGTGGTCGAGGCCGTGGAGGCATGAATGGAGGCGGCCGTGGTGGGCGTGGAGGACCGGCGCGCACGCGAGGCGGATATGTCGCCGTGGACAACAACCCGGAAGCCGGGGTGCTCAACCATAATCCGAACTTCCGGCCCAAGAACTACTCGCAAGTGCCACCACCGCAGAGCATCTCTGGACGAGGCCGTGGCCGTGGTAATAATATGCGAGGAGACCGGGGGACTGGATTCCGGGGCCGCGGTCGAGGACGCGGAGCGGCGGTTGCTGGAGAGAATTAGAGGTAGCTGTGTTAGACGATGAAGGAAGTGATTGTCCAGCCGTGGCGTTGGGATAATAAGTTGGCTGGGTTATATACAGAGAGGATGTCGATGGAGGATTCTAATGTATGTAGCACCACCAGTGACTCGATACCCGAATGACATGACGGACTATGTACCCTGATTGGATTGATTATTCCCCGCATTGTATGCGGAGAACCTAAAAAGAAATCTACCAATATTAAGCATTGACATCACTGTAATGATAA